TGCCTCTGCCTGTCTCTATAGGCGCGAACTACTCTTAGAAGTCTGAGGTTAACCCTGAGAAAGGCAAATAGGATAGGGCGCTGCAAACCCATTACCCTCGCCAGCATTGAACACAACTATAGTTCAAAAGGGGTACGTGCTGCAGTTTCTTCTATTGGCACGACCGTTAGGAGTGCATAAGACGACATGAGGTAACCAACGACACGCGCGTATACCCTTGAATAGTATATATTCCGAGCCCTATGACATATAGGACGTCGGTTCCTTTATTCATAAATGCAACGAGTGCCTCGCCAATGTATGAAAGATAGGAAGCGCCACGCAAACAGCGACACTTTTTGCGGGCTGGCTTTCACCGCATGTCATAAAATGGAAAGCGGCTCTTAACGTGGGTACGGTGACGTGCTGAAGTCGTCGAGTGCGCGACCACGTTGAATGATAAAACACGAGGTGAAGTGGAAGAACATATTGAGCGAACCAGGGGCGTAGTCAGAACATTTTCCAGGTGCAGGGGGGAGCACCTTGATTTCGGAAGGGGCACCTCTTTAAAAAATTTTTCTCCTATATGCGAAGGCGGAAAACTTTTTTGGGAAGTGGGCGTGGGGGGGTGGGGCCTGGTGTGGCACTCCGTGGCTTCGCCCCTGGAGAGATACGCTGGGCGGTGCGTGCATCGAAGTCGAAGCCGTGAAACTCATGATCATTGTCTTGGCCAACGTGACCTCGTTCCCGAATGTCATATTGTCTGCCTCCTGCAGTTTTTTTTGTCATCTTCGAGAAGATAATTACAAGATATACAAGATATACTGCGAGAGACGGTTGGTTGCTTTATAGTGTTAAACATTACGAAGTGACTCGGGCTATGAGACGCCATGGAGGAGGAGATCGTGTAATTTTGAGCCCCGGGGGTTCTTTAACGTGCACCGAACTAAAACGGCGAACGAATCTATAGCATTTCAAGTCCTTCTACGAATAGATGCGAATGCAGCGGTGGGGATCCAACTCGTCCCTTTCGGGTAAGCAGCCGAGAGTCGCTACCAATGGGCCTCCACGGTGGCACCGCAAGCACACTTTAGAAGTATTATGGTGATTGCCACCTCTTTTTTGATTGACATAACTTTTTTCACTGCGCCTGTCAATTTATCTGCCTCCTTCGGTGAAGAATACGCTTCTCGTATGCTGCATTATCAGCAGCTCATCTGTATCAACACTGAAGCGAAACAACAGGACAGCAATGTCTACTATGATGAATTTCACTTCATTGTGGTGCATCGTCCTGTTCTTCTGCACTGGGGATGAATTGCTGATCTTTACACCCAATTGCTCTCTGTTTATGAAACAAGTTTCAATTCCACCTCATTGGCAGTTGCACAGTCTTGTATTACTTTCTGCACTTGGGATACAGCAAGAACAATGCACAACGAGCACCACGACTCGCTCGCTGGATTCCGTGCCGACCGGTTGTGCCCTCGCGATCTCCGACGACAGTGCAGCTCTGGCCGACTGGGTTGGTCCTACACCACCTCCTGACACAGGTCACCGACGACGACGACAGCGTAGCTCTGGCCGCCTGGATTAGCCCTACGCCATCTCCTGTTGCCGACAGGAGCTGTCGCCAGTGGTGCCCCGTCCTCGGACTCCTGTGACCGTGTTCATCTTTCCTATCTTCTCTTTATTACCGTCGCTCCCTGTCCCTTCGCCTCTCTTTCTATTTACCTTTTAATCCTATCCTTTTTATTCCTCCTCACCCCCCTCCCTTGCGAGCTACTGTTGAGGTGTCGCACCAGATGCAGACAGTTACGGGGCTGACTTTTCTTTTCCCTTTTGTGGGAAAAAGGTGGGCATGGCGAAAATATTGTCATGAGGACTGCATTTTTTCCCTTTTTTATTGCATATATTGTAACACAACCACCATGTAACTGCCTTCGGCCAACAGTATTGATAAACCAATAAATAAAATAAATAAATAAGTAACCACACAAAAACTCTCCAACGCTTTACGTGCTCATACACCTGCTGGACCACTCAAAAATGGTGTCAATCTGCTTTGCTGGTTGTGGCTAAGAGTGAATTCGGAGCGTTTGTGGCTAAGAGTGGAGACGAAAGCTTGCCTCTCCGAAGTGCTCTGCGCTAAAGAAAGGGGTTCTGGCAGAGTCAGTCTGATGGTGACTGCACACGTTCAGCGGTTTGCATCCATTGACACATCGTGGTGGTATTACGTGCCGGAGTATAGATAAGAGTTTCATTCAGAAGAGTGAAACTGGCACGATTTAAAAGCAACCGCCACACAGGAGCAGGAAGAGCATTGACGAACGGGGAGAAACAATGCTCGCGATACTGGAGCGCCACACGTGAACGCTGGTCGAAACCAGAGCAATCGATCGCTCCATCTATCTTCGACGGATGGCGCTGCCTTCGTAAACGCACGATTTAAAGCTTGTTATTTCGTTCAAGCAAGAATGAAACGAAACGGCTGACATCGCACCAGTTTTACTGAGTGATAAACTTCTGTTGAGTCGGAGCAATCATTGCATTAAGGAATGTTAAAACAAAATAAAAAGTTGCTCGAGAAACAGACGAATTCAAGAAGAGATAAAGACTGGTATATCATTGTTTCATACCGACAAACACGCTACTTCCGGTGGTGAAGAAAAAATATTTGAGCGGAACGAGTCATTATCACAAATTAGGCAAAATTTTGACAGCACACTACTACTACTACTACTACTACTACTACTACTACTACTACTACTACTACTACTACTACTGCTACTACTACTACTACTATTACTACCCATAATAATAATATTAATAATATAAAACCATGTGAAACAGTTGTGTGAGTTCATATTTATGGCAAGCTCCGCAGCACATACACGGACAAAAAATGGACACCGTTGACTTAGCAGACACAAACCTTGCTTCACCAGATAGGCAAAAACTAAAGCTGGGATTCATTGGAGCCTTCTATTGTAGAAATACCGGAAACAATTGTGTGAATTAGGAGTCCATCTCGATGTCAGACGAGGAATTCGGTCTCTTGCGGAGCACGAGTAGAACTCTCCTCAGAAATGTGTGACGTCATCCTCAAGATTGATACAGGCTATTGAGGAGTTTGTGTTTACGTGACAGATTTGTTTAACTGGTATTTGTCTTACTTTTTCGCAGCTATTCTCGTCCACCACTGCAGAGTTCATCTGTGTTAATGAAGATATAGTTGTATTTCTTTGTTTATAGTTTGTAGCGCATCTTTATACGTCGCGCCCAGATATCAGCACCTTCGGCATCGCTAAGAAACTAAATAAAAAATGGCAGCATATCCACCGAGTGACTGATGGAGAGTGGGGCGAAGCATCCGTCCGTCCATGCGTCCGTCTCTGTGACCATTCTTAAGTCCATTCGCCCGTCCGTGCGTGCGTCTGTTTGTGCGTCCGCACGTCCATCTGTGCGTCCGTCCCTGCGTTCGTCCATGCACCCGCTCCTGCGTCCGCCCATGCGTCCGTCCGTCGGTGCAGCCATTCGTGAGCCCGTCCATGCATCTGTCTGTGTGTCCGTTCGTACATCTATTCAACACTCCAAGTACCACCACCTCGCATCTTTTCATCATATATTCCGCATATGCACCACCATCCAGCGGACATTCCAAGGACTAAACGAGAGGTGGCACACGCACACTTTCTTACGGCTTGCGCTTCGTGTGTACTTCCCACCTTCAACCACCTCGAGTTCATGGTATGTACTAGTTCAGTGTATTCATGGCACTGCGGCCCAACGCTCGCTAAACCTTTCTAAAACTAAGGAGGTTATGCCCAGTGAGCATAACGTAGCTACCCTTTCTTGTCAGATAGTGCTCAATGTATACATGCCAATGGCTGCTAAGGGGGAATGAGAGACAGGAGAATCCGCCTTTTACTTAACGCGCACGCTGCGAATTTTTTATTGTTCAACAACCCAAAGAAGAAATCTCTCTCCGGCACCACCTTGGAGGTCAAAATGTAAGACTGGTTGCACACTACCACTACTACTACGACTACGAGAGACGAACGGGTGCCGCTATAACGAGCTTCGCCCCTAAAGCTCTGGTCAAGCGGTGCGGGGAAGATAGAGGACTACTCGAACCGCGCGCCTTTTCTCCCCTTTTCCTTTTGCGTCACCATGCGCGCTTTCTCACGTTTTCAGGAAACAATAAACAGTTCCTAACCAGATGTTGTAGCTTTCGGTTTATCCTGCACGCAGGCTCTAAAAGGTGACCAGTTGCGAACTTGCGTGCGTGTTCTACACTTGTACCTCTCTCCGCGTGTGTGTAGCGCAGCCAATCATGAAAATTATGCAACTTTAAAAGAGTGTCTGTCGCGATCGGAATGCGCCGTGTAACATGGGACATTGCGATTGTCTAAAATGCTGGCCATCACTCGCCCACTAATAGTGCTTGCGATCCATCAAGAACTAAATTTTAGAGTGTAACTGCCCGATAACGCAGACAAGGCTCATGTGAAACAAGAGCCTGTTGCGAAAAAGTCAGAAACTTAATCCATGAAGTCACTGCCAAATTTCGTGACAATCTAAATAAATTTCTGAACCGCCAGTCGTCAGCAGGCTCAACGCGAACGCTCTGCCGCATGTCCTGAACCCATTTGGTTGACGCTAGCGCCGTGTAGCTTGGGTTTCGTTGATGATATGTCACCCTTTCGTGCCGACACACTATCCGAGCATGCCGAGGTAATATCTCTACAACAGCGCTTCGCGGCTGGCATCAGTCAATGTAGACCAGGTATCGCGTCGTAGCGTTATTGTTGGGCTTGCTGACGACTGTACAGATACTGATTGTTTTGCAGCACAAATAAATATAACAGCAGTTGTAAAAGCGACCAGTACGCTCATGCAGCCGTTAGTATCGTGTTCGTGCTCATTAATGTTCAAGAAAACTTTTTAAAACTTACGAGAAAACTAAGCCCCGGTAAGTTTTGACTTTCCCAAGCCTCTGTTACCTTTGACTGTGCCGTTTAATCAAGCACGTAACCGGAGGAAATGCACCGCACGGCTTTGAGCTCTTCCTTTGAAGTTAGCGCCTCTTTGATCCATGCTGGAACGCTAGCGGCAGCTGTAAGAAAAGTATAAAAAACCATGCATGCGTTCTGACCTTGTTTGTTGAAGGCGCCACCGTCCGAGGTCTTCTGTGGTTCTGAAAAAAGACAATAAATAATCCAGCTGAACGAGAAACCTTGCTAAATTTTTACCACAGGCGGGTGTTCATTAACCCTTAATGAAGCAATGTTCATTACATCAAAATTACATCGAGATCCAACGCGATGGAGGTACATGAATGAATCAAACGCTGAGTGTGCCTTTAATAAGCAATATGTTAGAGACTGACAGACCATGGTGCCAAAAAAAAAAGTGCAGGGGAGAGAAAGTAATATTTTATTAAAGAGCTGTGGATCATAGTATAGGGGAGTAACGGTAATGTAAATGTGAAAATGTGTACGAAAAGATTATTTACCAGTGGCATGGACCGATCCTGCGACCTTCAAATAGTACGTCCGAAGTTTTACGGCTGAGTTACGATGGCGATCATCCCTCCACCCACACAAACGTGGAAGCGTCAGTAAGTTATGACATACGCACGGTCTGAAATACGTAACTCTTGGCTGTGCATGAGGAGTACGAATACGATGCACTACATGACTGTGAATTGGAGAATATCGATGACAGGTGCGCGTAAAATTGAAGACGTATGAAGAAGTTGCTAAGCTTTTTGTACTCAGTGTCACAGTGATGAATTCTTGTGGCACTTACACCGATGCTTGACACACTAAATTCAAACGGCACTAAAGTGAAACAATAAATTGATTTATACATGAAGTTATACTCTGAAAATTCTCTAGCTCTTAATTTCACCACCATGCAGTGATTCACCGATGAGGCAATCAATTTCAAAAGTTTCGCTTCCCGCCAGAAACTCCAATGGTGAAACCACGGAATTCAAGTTTGCTGTTTTTTTTTTCTCGCACATTTCCCGAATAGACTGAACGAAATTTTCTGAAACTTCGTATGTTTAGTCTTTGGCTCCCTAAGAAGACAATGTATTTCCTTTTTTTACCCTTTCGGAACTATGTGAGCCCTAGCAGAAGCCATCTTAATCTATGACTTCACGGCAGCTGTCATGGACACGTTAAGGTGGCCTCGACGCCCGCGTTTTCTTTTTGCGCGTTTTTTCCTTACCAAGCGTCTTCTCGCTGCAAAAGTGGTGTACTGAGTGTGGAGAAAAAAATTTAGTAATACGAGAAAAAAGTGTTTTTAGTGTCCTTTTAACCATTCAACCACGCCAGAGCATGGTAATACCCTAGGACGCCGCGGTTAACTTCCAAGGTTTCATTTATATTTTTAATCCTAAATGAGCATGTTGAAACGATGACTACTAAAGTAACTATTCCACTAGGCAAATATGGCGAATGCATGAGAAAAGAGAAAGAACAGGAGATGGAGAAAAGGCATGGATGTTAATCAGTTTCGTAAAACAGGTAGGCTGACCTACACTGGGGAAAGGAATTGAGGAGTTTAAAAGCTAGTGGTAGAGAGAATGTAGAGAGGTGGAAGAGATAGAGTGGGAGCACACACGTACAGTCTCACATTCCTCATTTTAACATTATCGCTATTCGTCTATAAAACGCGGTGAGTCTGTTATTTTTAGAAATATTAGCAGTGGTTCGACACTTTTTTATTGTAAAGTACAAAGGTGCGTTAATAGGTACTTGAGCTTCTGTCATAATTAAAATCAACTTCAAGATAAACGTATTTCTGGGCAAAATCGACTTAATAGCTAGGTGGTATTCTTCAATCGAGTGCTTTGAAGCGTCTACGGTGGTATTACTTCGGAAATGTCGCAACTCACCGATGGATACTAGCTGGTCGAGCGTGCCGTTGTAAGGCGTCTCGGAGAAGGTGTACTTGGCCATGAAGCCTCGACCCGGGAAGTGGCTCTGTGCACTGAAGGTGATGTACAGGTCGGGTCCCGTGGACATCATCTCGACCCAGACGTTGCGGTTGCACAGTTGCCCGATGACGGGCGCACTGCCGTCTCGGCCATCGTGAACCAGGATGACGTCAGGACTGTTGAAGCAGCTGCGTTCATTTAAAACACACAATTCAGAAGAAAGTTCCTTTAGATTCGTTTTCGAGCATATACGCTCGTTCGTGCTCATGTACAGTCACGTTTGAAGAACATACGGCACACAAAGGGCTGTACATTACCACTGTCTCGGCCGGAAGCTTCGTATTATCTTTGTGGTCTGTTCTAAGATGAACTAACAACAAATACTATGCAAGTCGACCAAACACAGTTATCAATGTCAGCAAAATTTGAAGTTTTGTCGAGGAGAGTGGTCTACTTTTGACGACCGCTGTGAATTCCTCTAAACCTATCGAGTACGTCAAACGTGAGTACACAATATTCTTTCTATAGGATGACTGTGTTTCGGACAAAAGTAAGTCAGTTCATCTGAAGCGAAGCAGATGACACGAACAAAATGCGGATAATCAGGGCATGTTTGTGAAATAGGAACATCAGAGCATCGTTAAATGATAAGCGAGGAAATAACCCTCTTTGCTCGTCAATGATATTCCCGAACCATTACGGGTTCCATTGTGTCACTTGCGTACAGGCCAGTCGCAAATGTAAGTTCTCTATCTTCTAGAAGCCAGTTACAGAAACACGGTTCAAAACAAACATGGTAAAAAATAAAGTAGAGACAGAATGTCTCTACCTGCCTAATTTTTCAGCTAACGAATGAGCGTATTTTCTCGTTCCTCTGTCGTTTTTTCTTTCACAGGGTTCTGAAACTTATAAAGCACCAAGCTGGAGCAGGCATTGAGCTCAGTTTTCCAGGTCTTTGTCCATATTTGTTCCTGCTAGATTTCCGAGAGAGAATTAATGGCACGCTGACACGGTGCAAGTAGAGAACGCACCTGAAGTCTCCGCGCTGCAGGCGCACTTGCTCGAAGAGCACCTTGACCCTCTCGTTTTCTCGTCCCAGGAAGCTGTAGGCGCACTTGATGTCCCGCGGGTACGAGCTCGGGTACTGGGGCGAGAAGAAGCGGCCCGAGCTGCGGTTGCCGCTGTCCATGATGAAACTGCACCGGCTGTCGGGAACGGACACACCATCGGTCTCGAACTGGCCTGTGGTGAAGGGCGAGCTAATTAGAATTGTGCAGTGCCAAAGCATATTATGGTGAATTTCATCATTTTAGCTCAAATAAAACGACATTTAGCAAATATATGCATGTATTTTTTATTTTTTCTAAACCATCTATGCCTAAGCTTTTCTACACTTAGATTGTTTGATTCTTATCTTATACTGTTAAAAAACATTTCACCAATGCATCAATGTTGAAAGCAGTAGTGCGAAGTGTTATTTGTATGTGCTTTTGTTTCTCGTATATTTCTCACGTCGACGCTTTGGGTAATATCGCCAACTGGCAGTATGTTAAGACGTTGACAAACTATCGGTTCTCCTATTTGAAACACCCCTAATAGGACGGACGCGTAGACGTGAAGCTTTGAAGGACCTAACCATGGATTTCACAGTCATCATGCATTATTACACTTTACAAAGGGTACTTTAAGAGGGTAGTGGTACTTATATAAAAGGCGTGTTCTTAAATCTCACAGAGTATGTGACCGTGGTGCAGTGGATAGCATGCCCCGCTGCTGTTGTTCGACTCCTTGGACGGAACTTTTTTCTTTGTCTTCTGATGTGAAATTTTAGACGTCATTTCTATGACAGAAGTACGTTCCTGACACAGTGGTGGATTTAACTGTGGCGTGTACCGTGGCTAATGGTTCACGAGTGCGTGTCACGCGAGTCGAAAAGGGCTTGGCAACGTTCGCGGTATGAGATTCACGTTATTGATGTTATGGTCAGCCGCATATAGTCTTCAAACTTCTTTAACTTATCCTACAAATTCGGTATAAACCAAGTTAAGTAAGCGATCCCAAGAGCACCCAGATAGGTGATAGATAAATAGATAGATAGATAAATAGATAGATAGATAGATAGATAGATAGATAGATAGATGATAGATAAACATATAGATAGACAGATAGATAGATAGATAGATAGATAGATAGATAGATAGATAGATAGATAGATAGATAGATAGATAGATAGATAGATAGATAGATAGATAGATAGATAGATAGATAGATAGATAGATAGATAGATAGATAGATAGATAGATAGATAGATAGATAGATAGATAGATAGATAGATAGATAGATAGATGGTAAATACAAATGATCATAGTGCGTGCAGTTAATTCCGTAAAAATGCTTCGCATTTAAAAACTGTAAACAATATTTAATGGCAATTGATGTTAGAGACAGAATGAAATGAGGGAAAAGCAGGGTGGTAAACCAGCACTGTAGCATCCGGGTTAGTACCCTGCTTTAAGGGAAGTGGGAATGGGAAAGAAAGATCGGAGTGAAAACGTAGACAAAAGTAGACGCAAAATGGTAGCGCTTGAATTACGTTTAGCTTGTGTACTTCACCAAGGTCCTTGGGTTCACTTACGTTTGCTAAGGAACCGGTAGGTTCCCCTGAAGCCCGAGTTGTTCCCCTGGCGCCAGTCAGAGTGGAACTCGAAGATGAGTGCATGCCCGGAGGAGTAGTGAGTTTGCTCAATGTCGTTTATCTTGCCGCACAGGATTGAGTTGTACGGGCTGCGATTGTTCACCGCTTCTTCTTTGTCGAGGTGCAGAAACAGCTTCACGTAGTCACCGTACACACACCTGGACGAAACGAAGTCGGTAGTCACCATTTAATAAGAATAATGATTAAAAAAAAGGGGGCCAACGATGGGAAGGCTAGATGAAGTAACAAAAGTATCACCGTAGAACTCTATTGGGCTAGTTAAAGTAGTTAAATGTTTTGTATCACTGGTAGACTTAGCGCTAAAAAAATGAAGGTCGCTCCAACCAAGGGGTTCCAAACCAGAAGGGAGCGCAGAGCTGGGCCGCCTATTTTGCTTTTTTTAATTTTTCCCCCTTCCTCCTCTCTTGTTCTTTTTCCAGTTTTTTTTGCTGTGTTGCTTCTCCTTTCTTTCATTTTATTTGAACTTTTCTTTCTATTTTCTATTTCTATATCTTTCTCCTTATTTTTTGTCAGGTATACAGGCAGCGATTTTGGCTTCGTTTTGCAACATATTATCAATAGCTCTTGTAGAATAAATATTCGCTCTATTTTTAAATGTCTTTTAGGATGAAACATAAAAAAATTCTCGGCCATTACGTTGATTAACAAGACTGTAAACTTCATGCGCATTTTATAGCAGTGGTTCTCAACCATAAAAAGCTTCAGGGACCACTTGTGAGCCGACCTCAAGAAATGGGGGACACCACAGTGTCTGGTGTGTGGGGGGGTCGAATGAGCATAGCTCACACGTTTATCATACCGGGGAAAGAATGAAAGTCCTTGCAAAGTAAAATCAAAGCTGTTTTGCAGCAGATTTAGCGCTGGTGCATGTGAACAAACTAAATCACGTGTGAACAACAGAAACGCTATCAAAACGCCGTTAACCAGAACAAACAAAAGTAAAGACCACAATACCATAGAAACGCTAAAATTTAACCCCCTATCAATCAAAGCACATGAGAGAACAAAACGTTAACAAGAACAAAATAAGATGCGGTTAACCAGAAAAAAATGGAAGGCCACGGTCCATGATCTAATGCACACTGCTTCGCCTCATCGTCAGCAGTCACTTCGTGGAAATGCGTAAATTTTGGCATGTCTCAAAACGGCTCTTCTGTTTCGCCTATGCACATTCTTGATATTTCGATACGAGCGCCATTCGCAGCGAGCGAGGTCGTACACGCGAGAGCTTTGCAGACCTCATGCATGCTTTGGCAGACCCCCCGTGAGGTCTGCAGACCGCTATTGGAGAACCACTGCCAAAGAGAAACGTAAGGGACACTTTGAACAACAACAACAACAACAACAACAACAACAACAACAACAACAACAACAACAACAACAACAACAACAACAACAACAACAACAACAACAACAACAACAACAACACACAACAACAACAACAACAACAACACAACAACAACAACAACAATAACAACAACAACAACAACAACGCAGCATTCACTCACTCGAGGTTGCTGCGCTGTACGTCGAACTCTTCGAATGAGATGCGCACAATCTGGTCGGCGTTTCCGATGAAACGAAAGAGGATGCACTCGATATTCTCCTCGTACGGCACCGGGTAATTCGGAGATGTGAAGACGCCGTACTCTTTGCCGTACATGTCGTCGAACGTCACGCACCGGCAGTCTGGGAAGGTTTCAAAACAAAGAGGACATGACACCCACCACTATCGCACAATGAAATCAAGCGTACGACAAAAGCTATAGTCTTGCAGGGAACGCTCACGGTGAAAAGTAAAGAAAGACGCCGAGTGAATACATAGAGAAACACTTCGAAATAAAAGACGTTTCGGCTAGCGTATGGGGACCTTGTATAAAGACTATAAACAAGGATGCCGTCTGAGAGCTGAAACGTCCTTGATATTAAAGTTAATTTTGTGTGTTTGGTCGACTCACGTGCTATCATTATCGTAGGAGAAATTGAATAATAAAGAAGCACCCTCGTAGGAAAATAAATGAGGTTGTTCGCTCTAAATTATTGCTTCTGCAACGTCTTTCGTATTCACTATACTTTGATCAAGGGATCCCTGGTGCTTTATTTTTCTACACTTGCTTAACTTCACTCTACTTACTTTACTTTTCCCAGCGACAGTTACATTTATTTTCCAATACGTGACAGAAGAAGTATTGCGATGTCTGTTGTTAATTAAGTGTAGCTTTAATAGTTAGCAACTTATTGGACATCTTTTCTCCCAGTTTATGTAATCTCACATTTCTTGAATTATGGAAGAAAACGTCTCAAACTATTCAGAATACTTTTGGAGTGCAACAAAATTCGAGTGTACTTACGAGCACTGAGGCCTGCGACGGGAGAAACTTGGGCCGATTGGTGCCACAACAGCAGTAACAGCTGGAGCAGCTCTCCCCATAGCACCTGAAGAGAAACACATTTACTGTCATATGACGCCATATTAAGCCTATAACGCATATAACAATGCCCTGAGAGCCAGTCATACATGCTCGAAATATTACGCCTGCGGTACAATGCAGCAAGGTGCCGCCCACATTTTCGATCTAGGCGAAAATGCTTGAGGACTGTGTGCCTAGATTTAGGTGCTCGTGAAAGAACCCCAGGTAGTCAAAATTTCCGGAGTCTGCGACGTCTAATAATCACATGGCGGTTTTGGGCCGTTAATCTCCAGAATTATTATTGTTAGAATACAGCAAGGATATTCGTTTAGCTCAATGCATGTACACAAAACAGTAATAAAATATTTTATGTCACGAAGAAAGACAAAGGCTAATTTTCGGGACGCTAACATTCGGTATGCATGCATACATGCATGCATACATGCGTGCGTGCCTGTGTGCGTGCGTGCGTGTATGTATGTATGTATGTATGTATGTATGTATGTATGTATGTATGTATGTATGTATGTATGTATGTATGTATGTATGTATGTATGTATGTATGTATGTATGTATGTATGTATGTATGTATGTATGTATGTATGTATGTATGTATGTATGTATGTATGTACGTATTTATGCTTTAATTGTTTATTAGATAGAGGCATTTGATATGTTTTGACACAGCCTGAGGAAGTTGATTCTAACCGATTTGGCAAGGTAAACCATCAGCACTTTCCACAAATAATTGGCAAGTGTTTAGGAAGCAATAAAAGTTTTTTAGCTTACTATGAGAAGACAGTGATAAAGGTGACCTTTAAAGCAGGCAAATCAGCCATTAAAATGACTCTGCCTAAAGATTGTTGAAAATGGTAAAGTTGGCTGTGTTGCATAAACTTCAATACCGCAGAGGAGCACGCTTTACAGGCGTGTCAATAAGGTCAGGATGTATGTATGTATGTATGTATGTATGTATGTATGTATGTATGTATGTATGTATGTATGTATGTATGTATGTATGTATGTATGTATGTATGTATGTATGTATGTATGTACGTATGTATGTACGTATTTATGCTTTAATTGTTTATTAGATAGAGGCATTTGATATGTTTTGACACAGCCTGAGGAAGTTGATTCTAACCGATTTGGCAAGGTAAACCATCAGCACTTTCCACAAATAATTGGCAAGTGTTTAGGAAGCAATAAAAGTTTTTTAGCTTACTATGAGAAGACAGTGATAAAGGTGACCTTTAAAGCAGGCAAATCAGCCATTAAAATGACTCTGCCTAAAGATTGTTGAAAATGGTAAAGTTGGCTGTGTTGCATAAACTTCAATACCGCAGAGGAGCACGCTTTACAGGCGTGTCAATAAGGTCAGGATGTATGTATGTATGTATGTATGTATGTATGTATGTATGTATGTATGTATTGTAATGACGAAAACCGAAACTGGAACTCTCTCTGGCACAGACTCGCATGCTAGGAAGGAAGAGGAGGAAGACGAAGCAGAATAAGAACAGCCGGCCTGCAGCAAAGGCGTTGTGTCTTATTTCTCGTCGTTACAATGGCGCAGCCGACGAAGAAGACGTCTTACGTCCCGGCTTCGTCACCCAGGATACCCGCCGACGTGTAGCCGCGGTAAGCGTCGCTTGGGACGGCGTCAAGGCCTCCTCGGCGGCTCCAGCACCCGTTCCCGGTACCAATTCACGATAAGGAACGCCGTCACGCTTCTTCGCTGATGGAACCCGCAAGGCGTCCGTCGCGGCCAGCATCGATCCCAGCACCGACGGATGGCGTCCAGGCCTCCGTTGTGGTTTCGGGGAACTTGCCCAGGGACGCGACACGTCACGGCAACCATGCGCACGGGCCTCTCTCACCTAGGGATGGCGTACATGCCTCCTCCATACCTGGCAACCTGTCGGCGCTTCAAGCACCCACCGTGTACGGCGTCGAGGCCTACCCGGCGGCGCAACACCGCTTCATCTACGCCACAGTACCAGGTCACAACTCATCACACGGGTTCCGCTTGCCTGGGAACGTCGTTGACGCTTCCAGCGCCCTGGAACCCATGTCCACGAATCCGACCACAGCTGGATTTCCAAGGGACGCCGTCCACGCGTCCTTGGTCAGGAATTGTACCACCTCGAATACCGCAGTCACTGTATCCTCCGCAGAGGCGGGCCTTGGCTTTTCGTGCGGATCACACGACAGCGCAGCGGAGCTGCAGCATACCATCGCGCAACTCCGTGTCACGACCAACGCCCTCATAGCGTCGAGTTCCAAGCTATGTCCTGCCATCTTGCCAACATTGTGCGCACTCAATGCCATGTTGGCTGCGGCCGCCGCACAAAACTTCGAGGTAAGCTCGCCCGAGAACCGTCGCAATCTCCGGCGTTCTCTCGCGGAGGTATCGGAGCAAGTGAACTGCTTGGCGGGGGCACATTTCGGAGTTCTGCCCGCCGTCCCGCCATCGCCGATTTCCTTCGCGCTACCGGAATTTCGCGGCTTCCAGGACGACGCCGAGGAATGGGTGGCAACCGTCAACGCTCTCGGAACGACTGAAGAGCACAAGTGGGACATGGCCATAGATCGCCTGCGGGATGCTGCCGCAGCATGGCACAGGTACGAAGGCGTCAGGCAGCAGTCCTGGGCAGAATGGAGTGCAGCCCTGATTGCCGCTTTCGGACGGATTTCCTGTGACTCCAGCAAGTCCAGCTCGATCTTTCCCGAGGCCGAGGATGGAGCCCAGGCAGCGCCCCGCCTCGAGGCTGCAATCGTTCGTTGCAGCTCGTCAACGGAATGCTGCCAGGAGTTCCCTGCTGCTGACCCTGACCGAAGTGGCTGGAATCCTACACTACAGGTCCCGGACTCTGCATCGGTATTCGACCTGAAAATACCGCCACCAGACCTTCGTCCGGAGATACGGCCCTCGCGCTCGTCGTCTGAGGACATCGAGGCACTCAATCCTATTGTATTAGACACAACTGAACCCTACCAGACCACGATCATGCTCAGCCACGCAGACACTCGGCTACCAAGGAACGTTTCCTTCGAGAAAGCCCAGATACCTAGCTACGCTGAGGCCACTGCCATCGAGAACTTGCCGAGGACCAGCCCTCCTGCTGTTTCCTCCCAGCATACGATGTTTGCACATGACAGTTCGCCAGAAGCCACCGGCTCGACTACGTCTGGGAGTTCTGCTGTGGTATTTATGCCCAACCATGAGCTGCGTCCCATCTCATTTCAAGAAATGGCCCAAACGTCATCATGGCTGCCTCGCAGGGCATCCCGCTGCAGTTCAGTCCACCAGCGACGGTGGGACAAACACCAGCGTTTCCAGGTTACTCTGCGACCTTGCCGGAACAGTCAGGGCCGTCCACCTGAACTGCATTCTACGAGTTGTCAGGAAACGTTGCATCATGGACGAGTTCGACCACGGCGACAAAGTCAAGCCCACCCACCAAAAACTTTACCGCCAGCTCCGCGCGCGCACAGGACCCAGTCTCCATCACGACACGGTGAACGACCCAGACGACATAGCCAGTGTCGGCCGCCGGAGCCAATTTCGACAAACTTCCAGCGTGGTCGAGACCGACCACGACGATGTAGCCAACCTCGCCCACCTGAAGCACTGTCAACTGCTGCAGCTAGCCTTACCTACCAGAACATTGTCGTTTGGCCCAACGACAATGCTAGCAGTCATGGCCGAGTGTAATGACGAAAACCGAAACTGGAACTCTCTCTGGCACAGACTCGCATGCTAGGAAGGAAGAGGAGGAAGACGAAGCAGAATAAGAACAGCCGGCCTGCAGCAAAGGCGTTGTGTCTTATTTCTCGTCGTTACAGTATGTATGTATGTATGTATGTATGTATGTATGTATGTATGTATGTATGTATGTATGTATGTATGTATGTACGTATTTATGCTTTAATTGTTTATTAGATAGAGGCATTTGATATGTTTTGACACAGCCTGAGGAAGTTGATTCTAACCGATTTGGCAAGGTAAACCATCAGCACTTTCCACAAATAATTGGCAAGTGTTTAGGAAGCAATAAAAGTTTTTTAGCTTACTATGAGAAGACAGTGATAAAGGTGACCTTTAAAGCAGGCAAATCAGCCATTAAAATGACTCTGCCTAAAGATTGTTGAAAATGGTAAAGTTGGCTGTGTTGCATAAACTTCAATACCGCAGAGGAGCACGCTTTACAGGCGTGTCAATAAGGTCAGGATGTATGTATGTATGTATGTATGTATGTATGTAAGTATGTATGTATGTATGTATGTATGTATGTATGTATGTATGTATGTATGTATGTATGTATGTATGTAATCCTAATACTTCAAGAACACGCTGTCACATCAACATTTAAACTCTGTGCCTAATTCTTAAAAAGAAATGGTTTTCGTGAATTCGAAAGCAGCATTTGTTTACCTGGCAACTGTGCCTGAACTGCGCATCATAACTTGCGCTCATCAATTGAATATCCTTTAATTTTGTTCATGTCAGACGCTCGCTTACACAAATAAAGAAAGATGTAAGGGTGATAATATCAGATGTAAACAGATGAAACCTAGAAGGAAAAGATTAACTATCAGATTCTACTCTGTCAACTTTCCGTAGTAACTAATAGAAGAATCGCATATGGTTAATAATTGTTCTTAACGGACATTTTTCATCGCCGTTTATGACAAATCTGTGTCACAAAAAAGTTGTAATAATTTTCACACCTTGTTGTATCATATTAAATAAATCTAGCTTCAAAGTGAGCCTTCTTTATTTGATGAAGTACAACAATTCTGGTTTAATTGTTTATTAAATAGAGGCAAATTATATTTGCCATGTTTTTACACCACTTGAGGAAGTAGATGCTAACTGACTTGGTAAGCAAAATCATTAGCACTTTCCACAAACTATTAGCAGGTGTTTCGAGAGCAATAAAAGTTTTCTTGAGCTTACTTTGGGAAAACAGCGATAAAGTTAACGCTTTAAAGGTGGCAAATCAGCTATTGAAATTGTCT